CAGGGTTCCGGGAATCCCAATTTGTGAGCAATGCAACCTGACGCATATCCGGAAAGGATGAGCGCCACACATTGCGTTCGTCCTGTGGTCTGTCCGTTTGGGGTACGCCACGCCTCCAGTGTATACGCAGAGCGGAGTGATCACTAGATGCAATTGGTAGAAGGAGTTCAATCCTGGTCGTATCTGATTGCCTCGGTGAAAACACCAGGTCAGGGATGGATCTTTGATCCCCAACTATCCGCGTGGGCACTTGAACATGAACATGAACACAAGCGACAGGGCCCGGACGGCGAAAAGAAGTTCTCTGGAGATTAAATCTGCATGCTGAGAGCAGATGTCAGTTTCCCAATCAACATGGGGCGCGTTGAAATCACCCAAGACAAGACAATGTCTNCGCAGGCGTACCTCTGTATGCTGGCCAGCAGCTCTGGGACGTACACAGCTTGTGTGCGATAAATCACTCCAACTGTGGTATACCCTCCGGCACAAAGCTTAATTCTGCACCACAGGGCTTCTCCAAATCCTTCCGGATGGGCGTAATTCTCCAGCACTCGAACAGGGAGACCCGAGCGGGCAAAAAGAACAATTCCACCACCGCGACGTGACGATGATCGATCCGTAATTGCTTTGGCAGGACAGAGCCGGTTTCGTTCAGAGTCTCGGATTTCGTTGTACATGGATTGCAATCGGGTCACCAAGTGAATATATTCAGTTTACTAGGCAAGGAGCTTTCAATATTTCGATAGCTCTAATATGAAAATTCGGGATATTTTTGTTATACCTATGGTTAATTTTTTCATTAGAATATTTTATTACTATTGTTTCTAACTTATGTATGAAATGTTTTCCGTTTCTCGTGAACCCATTGTGATTATTTTTCAAGGTGTTCAAATTCGGACCCGATTTGAATCCCACACCGCTTTTAGTTCTTGGTGAGGCTTTTGTCCCGGGTACAGATACAAAACACTTTTGCAAGCCCACCCATGTGGTCGTACAACGTGATGGCACATTCTTTGTCACAGATGGGTGAGTCAATTTGATGATCTTTTTCGCATTTTGTGTTTCGTCGTCTGTACACATTTGACTAACTGCTCTCAGCTCACAGACCAGTTTAAACAAAAACCACTTAATGGGTAACACATCATGCATCGGTTGCCTAAGTGCGTCAATGTGCATCGAGATCGGACGGAACTACAGAGGCACTGCGATTCAGTTTCCGGCCAGCCGGTCATGATATGAAAATTCCACATAATTCAGTGATCTCAGGAACATCAAATGGGATTGATAGGCTGAATTTCAGAAGGCCTAAATTCGGACCGTACGGTTAGCAGTTGACCGGGATAGGCCGATGGTTGATTTTCACTGATAATATTCACTTTCATTCTACCTAGTAGAACTAACTGTTTCCACTGCTCTTCGGTGTTTAACTTGAATGCCATATGTCTCTGTAATTTAGATGAATGATTCGAACGTGAAAAGATCAGTGTCATCGGTGTGGCTTCGTATCTCAGCTGGTGGAGCGTGTGCTGTACAAAAGTGTAGATGCGTGGATTCGAATCCCACTGAGGCTACTGAGCTTTTCACAATTTAATCATAGGACTTCAATCTGTCAAACAACAGTTTGTAACTTTGACTTGTCCGTTTCATTCCGAATCCCAATTCGCACCATTTGAGTAGAAAAACTAATCCCATTTCTCCAGAGATCATTGAGTGATTAAAACCTTTTTCAGTTGTATTAAGCCTAGATGGGGATCTGCACCGCGTTCCGACTTGAAGGAAATCGTGGACCACATGTTTAAGCCGACCGACGGCGTGGCGGTCTAATACCCAAGCGAAGTGACATCGGTGGAGTTTGAACCAAAATCCACCGAAGGTACACGAGCTTTGGTGTTAGCGCCTAAGGTCACTAAATAATTATAGTGAAAATGTACCCATGCTTTTCCGTATTTACCTATAAGACTGTGCTTAAAAAATTGTATACAATTTGAATGTTAGTCGTAATAGCTGAAACGGGTTTTTAAGTGTACTTATTTCGCCACCAGGGCGTTCAAAGAGAGAACATGATAATGAATCAAGTGATAAAACCAAATTCTGTCTGTCAGTATATCAATTAATTAAATGCATTTGATAAGTTGTTTTACACTCTACTAATAGTAACTTTACAGTGAACCGGATGGAACCGTTCAACCTTACGTCCCTAACACGACTTGTGGACGATGTCAACTGTGGATTATGTAGAGTCTACTATGTCGCGCCCATGAAAAGTCGCATTTTCCAATATGTTCCCACATTCTAGCAAGCCCAAACCAACCACATACATAATAACGTAGTTCCTGACTGTGCCATGTGACCCCTCCAGTAGGTTACGGTTCCTGATACGTGGTCGGTGACCGATGTTCCTGATGGTAATTTATCCATCAAAGTGCAGTGTTGCATTCAGTCAATGACGTTTCACTTAGTGTGAAACACACTAATTGGATAAGCCATTCGCGGAAGGTACACAAATGCTCAGTTTGAGACGACTTCATTTGACATGCCTATGTGCGAGCACCTATCCGTCAGTAAGAAGCACAATGTGTTGGAAGTGCTGAATTACGTAGATGCAACTCAAAGCTCTGCAGCAAAGTCACACAGTAATTCAAGGAAAACTGTTTACACTAAAGCACCCGATCGAATGACTTTTCGGAGAACCTGTAATCATGGGTGCATGTCAGGAAAAGTGTCACACGAAAATCACCGACAATTTCTCGGTAGTTAACGAGGCAATCTCAGCATGGTTTACCGCTTTAAGGGAAAAGCACGGCGAGTTCCTCATAGTATAGAGGAGCATCGTTTGTAAGCAAGCGATTAAATAAGAATAAAAATGCATCAAGGCTTCCAAAGGTTGGTTTCGCTCTTGGTCAAACAAAGAGACACAACTACTCTCGTGTATCACTTTCTACGTTTGCGGTCAAAGATTGACAATATCAGGTGATGCAATGAACGAGTTTCGACTGGGGTTACCGCATTGAGTATGCTGATTGTGATATTTTCAATGCTGTGTAAACAGGTATATGTTACAAGCAGCCCCTAGGGGGAATATTAAGTTTCAAAAGACACCAAAACCTTGGTCATGTTTATGACTGTAAGATTAGTCTAAAAAATGGGGGCGAAATCCAGGGGATCAATGGGCTCTGTCGCACTAACGCATCTGTGCAAATAGGTGCAAATAGGTCATCATGAGTGACCAAGCTAGTAAGTGGGTGTTAGGAGTAAAATTTTAAATCTCCAATCAATCGATGTACGCCATCGCACTGACGCGCCTGTGTGAATGGATGAAAAATACTACACATTGTCCTTGCAAATGCACGGACGAAATTGGACAGATCACTGGTCAACCGTCATTGCAACAATTACGACCTGGGTCACATAGGCTTAATGTATCCCTTGCAGTGTTCGGATGATGTCCTTTTACTTCGCGGTTCACGTTATGGCATCTGGTTTCGAGCTCCATTAGTCATCGGGGTCATGAGTAAAAACGTAGCCGACGCTAGTCATAAAATTGCATCGAACGGTTTCAGTATAAATTCGATGAATTCTACGCGTAAATGATACGAGCTGAAATGTTGTTTTAACCTGGTTGGGTGTCACCAGCAGTGCAAATCCATCGACCAAGCTAGGAATCAAAGGCTTGAATCTACCTCTTATGCGAGCATTTGTACGCAGCCCAGTTCTATGATCATGATTGATGAAAAATCGATATTTCGGTATCCTACTTGTCCCGTTTTCAAACGGTCGTCAATTATGTTTTTCATTTGGTTGTGAATTGCTCATCATCACCTTCGTTACCAGTTTTCGTCTGCAAGATCTATTCTCTGCGATTGATTGGATGTTCAAGTTATTGACTGTACTTCACATGTCCGACCTCGAATTATCTCTTTTACTAGACACCCATTGAGCTCTAATCGTCAGATTCTGTATTATATTTCTCGTGCATGAAATGATTGCACTGATCATTCTAATAATCCGCTCACATTCTGTATGAGATAACAAACAGGGCTGTTCAAACTGATACCAACTTAATTTTGTTTCAATAATGACGATGCCATTGTTGAGACAGTTTACAAGGGCTGGTTGTATACACGAAAAGGACCAAGGGAGAAAGTGGACTCGAATCGGAAAAACTCAATAATGTGAATCAAAATAGGAGCTTGACAAGCTTCCTAAATAGGAATATGATGGTAAATATACAGAGTGATACAGCTCATTTCTTTGGTCAGAAGATGGACTCACGAAATCGAAGTAGTATCGGTTGAATTGATTGTCTCAACTGTCCAATAGTGAGTTTTTTATGACAGGTCGAAGGATTGGAATCCTGATGACCCGTGTGACATTTAATTATCACGAAGGCTAGGGAAATGGACGGAGTTCAAGCTCAAGGATGAACGCGGTACTCAAGGGCAGTGCAAATGTAAATTTTGTCCAACGGAATGAACCGTAGATAAATAAATTGACAGATAACGCGGAGTCGGAGACCACTCTTGAGGGCAGCGTGAGAAGTATGCATCCAAAAATGTGATTAACATGAAAGGGATTAATTTGAAGGTCTGCTGGAAACTGGGAAATGGTAATCAGTGGTGCTTCACAAAGTTGACGCCTAGTGTGGAATGTCAACAAAGACAGATGCAAAAGAAAAGGATGTGAAAATGTTTGAAAAATCTAAAGCAGTAGACTCTGATTGGGTTTCTGATCTCATTGTTGGATTTTCTTGTCCGTTCTACGGATTACCTGGATGTTGGTTGCCGATCAAGAAAGGAATTTATAGTCGATACATTTTTGGATAGCAGGTGTGTTAGTTAAATCGGGAGTTGGACTCGTCCTTTTTAATTGTTATAGTCCCAAGAATCTTGTACGTGCCGCCTTCCCCTCAATAATTGTTCTCTGTTGACGTGATTCCACATAGATGAAATTTAAAACAGCTGTGACGTTGTAGGATTTCATGTACTGCTTCTAAAACATGTTTATTGAAAGGAAAGATGGAAAATCAGATTACTGAATTGGTGTCAATCGCCTTGATTGACTTTGTGTTCTGATCAAGCGTCTGCGTTGGGGTATGCTACGCAATTCTCAGAGTGTACGTTGATTCCGTTCCAATAGTTCCTACGTTAGAATTATCTGCGAGTGGTTTCAGCCTTTTATGTTTGAAAGATAAAGGACCTATTCTTTGTGTTCGTTGTTTTTTTTCAACATTGGTGAGTTTGCAGTTGACATTGGATATGGTTTACCTCATTCAATTTCAACGTAATCGCACTTACCCTTACAATAAACCAGTCTGCTTGGTAGTGGTACATCATTTCAGAAGACATTTGAGGCACAGATATTTCAGTCCCCTGGATGTGATGTCTTCACAATGAATTGTTTTTTCTATCTTTTATAATATCCTAGAAATAGCCGAAACATTAGTAAAGCACTATCCTCGAGCTAACGATTTATTTGGTCAGTTGGTTTCATAATTTATCAATCCATTGTTTCCCCATGAAAGATATTGCAATAACCGAATCATGAAGTTCAACGCAAATGGTACCTTTATCAAGCAATGGGGAGGAACAGAAGCAAGTGAGTATTGCACAGAATATGATGTTGCATCGCATTAATTATGATCAAGTCAAAGCCAATCTGGAAACTATAGAATGAGGGGAAAGTTTTAGGCTTGCAACACCCGCTAATCTACGTGAAGTTTAATATCGGTTCTAAAACGGCTGCTGAGATTATCTTTCTTCTGTCCTCAAATTGAATAGCTGAACTAAATTTAAATGATACGTTTACAGACCGCATGAGAGTATTGAACATTTCAAAACATCACAAGACATGTGATCTGTAGAATCTTGTATTTTCAAAAGAGGATTGTAATTAATTTACTATCTCTCACCAACTCCAACAATATATATTTTTGTTAAATGTCCCGTTGAGGCTCAGATTATTTACGAAACTCACATACATTCAAACCCATTAGTGAGACCAGAAACAGTAAATAGGTTCTCCTTTACAACTTTTAAGTATTTTATCTCTCTTAAAGATGAATTGAACTTATGATGAATTCAAGAAAATACTAGAAAACAGTACTGTGACCCCTGAGGAGTGATGGGTTTATTCAATGGTGCGCTTACATCTCTTGCCAGTTTAGGTCCAGGTATGCATTTTGCACGCAATAAGGTAGATTTTCAGCATTTTCGTCGAAGTACAGTGGAGAAGTATGCACATATGATGAGAAAGAAGTAACAAAGCAATTGCAAGCAATAATAGAAAAACACCACTAACGCGATAGGTGAAATATGTTAACTCAATAGTGATAGATGTCTGTAAAATGGTGATACGCTCAAGGTACTGTTTTGGTAGAGAAGTCCAAACTCAGAACAATTACGGGGATGAGAGAGACAGATGGACAGAGGTCCTCATATATCCATATTTCGTGAATCGACCAAACGCATCACAGTGCTTGCACACAATAAAACCAACCAAAGGCAGTCTCAGGAAATACCAATACAACAGGAAAGAAGATTACTGAATATGAGAATAGTCTTTCTCTTCTAGAGAGAAGAAATGTGATGTTAGTGCAGAATCACAAACTCAAGGGTTGCATTTAGGAGGACCGCATGCTTTTCAAGTCTGATAGCGTAGAATACAGATTGAAAACATTAACATAGATGTCTTCAACATAGTTAAACAATGGAAGGTTATGTGACGATGTAACCCTGTGGGATTCCACAGAGTCAGTTTTTGAAATGATACCGTTTGCAGTCCGGGGATTCGATTCCAGCCAAATAAACCTCCGAGAATGATTGAGATGACTCTGTTCTAGGTGTTGTGAGTTAGGTGTTTAACCTCAGCCATTTCAAGGTTTGAAGTTACACCATGTTGCCCACTTGTATCAGTTGAGAAAGGACGGGTTTATGGTGTGAATGGGAAGCTGCTTGCATATGCGAAGTTAGTGGGTACAAAGCCCTTTTATGAAGCACGCCTGTGCAAACAATGCACGTTGCCGACGGTTATTTTATGGAAGGTAGAGTGTTTTTCAACAGCGTTGTTCTTTGTGTTGTTCCATGTTATTTATTGGAGTATGATCTATGTCGCGCGAACTAGAGTGTGAAGGTTGAGTTGAGTTTACTCAATTTACTCACTTTCGTCGTTACTCCATAGAAGAATCGAACACTGCGGCAATTCATACGTTTTGCCTTGATCTTTTTGAATAATTCAGGTAAACCAGGATACAATTATTTTGACTTCAATTTGCCTCATCAAATGGCTCTGTCAGAGGAATTAAATTTGCTGTGTGTTGCTGATCGCGAAAATCATCGTGTGTTGTGCTACAATGTGCGACCGTCACGCCCTCAGGATGATGAACTGACATACCTGTTTCACGCCAGCTTCGACAAATTCAGTTCCGTTTATGGTGTGGCCATCGCACCGCGAGGTAAGTCTTATTTTAACGTATCAACCTGTTTTGATTTACTAACGGTCGCGATACTGCCATGTCACAGTTGCACCACCCTTTTATTCAATATGGAATAATGCTGTAATTGCTTTAGGAGGACCGTTCAAAGATACATAGAGGAGAGCGGGATATTAGAGTTGGCATTAAAATTCAAACACAGGTCATAGAAGTCACCAATAGGGTGACTGGGAACACTTGTCCGCTGCCAACCAACTGAATTTGTGAGGGATTAGCCTGTTTTAACAATATATATTTATATATTTCACGTACGTCTGAGTCCAGAATGTGTGCCAAACAAATCACGTTAAATAATCTTTATAAAAAGAAAAAAGTTTCATGATTTGCATGTGAGCAGAATACTGCCAGGTTGCCCAAACCAAGGCAGGTGAATTTTCTTTAGGCCATCACACCCGGAACCTTCGGTCAGCCAAAGCCTGACCCGCAAAGCAACAGGGCGGTGTGCGAAAACCGCACTCGGTTGGGGACGTATGTCCAATGCATCGGATCATCCACCCTGCNACCGCAATGCCCATTTGAGCCGATGACTACTACCATAACCAGGAAGCTCTGGGTGAGTGTGATTCGTACGCCTCTTCTTGGTTGTTTTAGAATCAGCGTTTTTAGCCAACTCCCCAAGGTGAACTGCCAGTGGTTCACCAGCACGGTTATAGCCCCGGATGTCGGCTTTTTGTCCTCTCACTTTGGTGGGAAAACACCTCCAACACGGGAAGGCAGTGAGTGGGGCTTCTTTAACAGAGGGAATTGGAACCACTTGGTCGTATAACGGTATTTCGTGAGATGCAAGGGTAGGGTGACCAGGCGCACCCCAAG